TGTAGACCCAGAGTGCATGGTACTCTATCAGTTAAAAACAGAAACGACCCAGTACACTCCACAGCATGAACAGTTGCCTCATTGTCATTGGACAGTCTGTCAGGCCTAATCAAATCACTTGGGCTTCACTTGTAGGCAGTTTTGCCAACTGGCTGATTCCTTATTTTTGTGGTCAATATAACCAAGTTACTTTGAACTTTGTTTCATTGAATTTCAAAGACCCATTCTCCTATCATAACTTCACCTCTTCTCATTTCTTCCATTTTGTTCTAGCTACTAACATTATTTACTTAATCACATATGAATATGCATTAAAGATACCAGAATGAAATACTTTTCCATTCCCTAGGGTTAAGCTCCACTTTTCCATTCCCTAGGTGGCCCAAGGGGATAGGTAACCAAACAAGATATATTTAAAATTCATTATTTCTGGAATTCTCCAACCCAGTCTGTTTACAGATTTTTTTTTCCAGTTCAGTCTTGACACACAGACAAGTGTGTACCAACTGTCTACTTTTTATATTTGGGTGAGTACCTGGAAGTGGTATGTGGCAGAAGACAAGAATGAGGAGAAGGGAACACAAGCACACTGTTAACTTCAAGACTACCTTACTCCTCACCTTCATTTTTCTCCAAGTGAAAAGATTCCTGGTTTTTATTTCACTGTTACCCATTTTGAATTACCTTTTAAAAATGTGTTTATGTCCTCTTTTTACCCTTCAGTTCATCCCCCTTGTATTGGATGTCATACCTACCTCTTCTCTCAATAGTTTTCCCTTTACAGATCTCCAACTTCACACTTTCTTTATTCTTCTTCCTCGGATATGTTCAAACTACACAGCATCAAAGCACATATGAGCATTAGTCTTGACCAAATGGTATGAGCTTCCTGAGGCCCCAAACAAAAGAATGTATGCTCAACCTGGAGCCCTTTGACAATGGCATTAGTGTTCTGGAATTGGTTATTCAGAAACATTACTATATGGTTTGGGCTTTCTATATAACACAACTTTCCATATGAGTTATTCTCAAAATATAAATACAGTTAAGTATCAGGAACATAGCTTTATGACCATTTTCCCTTTTATGACAACTTCCCCTTTTTGGGCCAGATCTTGAAGTCCTTAATATTGATAGCCTAGAACAGTGGTTGACAAACTCATTAGTCAACAGAACCAAATATCAACAGTACAATGATTGAAATTTCTTTTGAGAGCCAAATTTTTTAACTTCTTCTAATGCCACTTTTTCAAAAGAGACATGCCCAGGCCATGGTATTTTGTGGAAGAGCCACACTCAAGGGGCCAAAGAGTCGCATGTGGCTCATGAGCCACAGTTTGTAGACCACAGGCCTAGAACCTTAAATAAATTTTAAAAAAAATTTAAGTGACATCAGCCTGGCCAGTGTGGCTCAGTGCTTGAGTGTCAACCCAGAAACCAAGAGGTTGTAGCTGTCCCCAGTAGGAGCCATGCAGGAGGCAGCTAATCGATGATGTTTCTCTCTCATCGATGTTTCTATCTTTCTATCTGCCTCCCTTCCTCTCTTTCTAAAAATCAATAAAAACATATATATTTTTTTTAAAGTAACATCATTCCACCTCTTTTCCTCTTATGGTATCTTCTGCAAAATTGTGCACAAAAAGAAAGTCTCAGTATCAAAGTGAAAACATCTGTGGATCTTACTAAAACTAAAGGTATCTTGATATAGCTGCAGTTACCATTATTATTATTTCAGTGTTGAGTAGAAGGTATTGTGGTTTCTCCAATATTGTGAATAATTGTTTTGTCATTAAACAGAGAGTACAATATGTGTCTAGACTATCTCCCATAGGGCTCACAAACACTTTCAATTGTCCCCAAATGTGGTAGCCACATGTTTGTTTTCAGCTGGCTGAGTCTTAAGCCAGAGTTTAGAGAAAGTGGAAGAGAGAGAAAACCAATTAAGCGTCTCTTTAGGATGTGTCTCAAAGGGTAATGCATTCCCCCCTAAAGTAATGTGTTTAAAAGAAAATAAATATTGCACACCATTACTGTTCTCCTTAGTTACTTATACTTTGATAAGAGTATAAAGACATTTTTTAAACTGTTGGAACAAATTCAGAAATTGGTGAACCTCATTCAGCTATAAATTCTGAGAATGCATGAATTCATTGATATTCATTGAGTGCTTATATGTGCTGATTACCATTATGGTATACTACACTTCAGAGCATAAATACGTTCAAAGTATTTATAAAAGAAACAAATGGATATTGAATTTCATGATAGGAAATAAGTAAAAAAGGAAAATGACTGTCTGCAAACTCTAGCTTACACATAAAATATATCCCGTGTTTTAAAGTCCAACTGAAGTAATTATTCAATTAAATATTAATAATCATAATGAGACACTATAGTGACTGAAAGTAGTTGCAAGTACTTAGACATTTACCAAAAAATCAGAGGATTTAAAACTAGAAAAACTACTTTAGAAAAGATTTTGTGTAATTCTGATTCCTACAGATAACTGAGAGCCAGGGAAAGTAAATCAGCTGTCTAAAGATACACAGCTTTTTTGTGTGAGCACCGGGATTGGAAACAAGGCTTATTTTATCTGAGATCCAGCATAAACTTTCTTGCCTCCATTAGGAGCTGCTGTGGTCAGCCTCTCTGACGGCGTGACCTCCACAGCATAGGTCTTCCCTCAGGAACATGTGGTCAAGCCCTAGCAGTTACAGGCTTCTGTCTTCTGGGAAATACACTGCTCATGGGTGCACACAGAATCTTTTTCAGATGAGAGATAATTACACACTCTCCCTTCCTGCTACTCCTGTAATTTGGCCTGTCCATTCAAATTATATACACCTGCTTCTTTGTACTCTATCTTCTTTTTGTGGGTTTGAGGAAATGGACTGGTTTAATTTTAACCACAGCATCAAGTCCATAAAAGTGACAGCTGGAGTTGTCTCTGACCTTCGCAGAAAGAAATGACACCATTGACCTGTCATCAGAGGGATTTGCACTTGAAGTTTTAGCTTCATCATATATAAGCAATAGGTTTGCTAATCCACTGGCAAGCTTCCATCTGACACCTCTTTGGACCAAAGACACTATGGGGTCATCAGCAGAGCAAATCCAACTTGACTCAAAAAGAGCTAAACCTATCACCCTGAACTCAAAATTGTGTGATCAGAGTAGTTGAGAGAAGCAGCCACAATTCCCCCAGTGTCAATCAGGGTTCTTTAGGTGGCAAATAATTGATATTGACTCTTACCAAGGGAACACATTCGGGGGGAAATGGAAGGACCAGGTCTTCAAAGGTATTGGTGTAACATAGCTCAGGGGGAATCTGTGTGGCAAGACCTCACAGACACTTTCTTCAGTACTGGGAAGAGTGGACTCCAACATCGTTGACCCTTGTGACCCTTTGCTTAAGAGTCAAATTCTAGGGAGACAGTGTGAGAAGCCAAGGTTGGATATCATGACTACCCCCTGAAGCGGGGGAAGTGCTCAGTTAGTGCCACAATTCAATGGGTAGAGGAAGTTTCCCAAAGGAAAATAGTTGTTCAGAACAATAACAACAAAAGGGAAGTGGATGCTGAGCAGTCAAATTAGCAGATGTCCACACCACCACCAATGTGGAGAGACAGAACCTGGCTGGCACGGCTCAGTGGTTGAGCGTCAACCCAGAAGGTCGGGGTTCGATGCCTGGGTTGTGGGCTCAATCCCCAATGTGGGCATGCAGGAGGCAGCTGATGATGATTCTCTCTCATTGTTAATGTTTCTATCTCTCTCTCCCCCTCTCTTTCTCTCTGAAATAAATAAAAATATATTTTACAAAACACGTAGAGTGACAAACAGAGATAGCTGAATATTGAAGTATTTAGCTCAAGGATGACACTACCTCAGACAACAGCTCAAGGATGACACCAACAAAAGGTTACTAAAATCTGGTATTGAGTCATAGTTTTAAATCAGGCTGTTTAGCAGCAATTTTCCTTTGAAATGTCTCCAGCACTGTCCAAAACCTGCGTGGTATGTGAATATCTGGTCCATTAAGCTCTCTTTCCTACCTCCCACCCATTCTCCTCCAGCCACTCCTACTCCCTTCTCTTTACCAAAATCTGAATCCCAGCTGTTTCTTTAGCAACATTTTTTTGTTTAAATTGGAAGATCAATCAAACATCATAGGACTTTTTGACATTTAGCAAATGTGACTTACATTTTTAAAATCCAAAATGAAGCCTAATTATTAGATGTAAAAGAGAGAGAAGGAGGGGATGTCAGATAATATGCTTCTTTGTCCTATGAGTGCTCTCTCAGGCAGTCTTGCCCAGCCCCTGTTCAATGAAGCTTCCTGGTAGACCCTGTTGAGATGAAAGATGGCTCTTCACTTCCACTCAACATACAGATCAGACCAGCATTCTGAAAAAAAGAGGCAGGTTTCACTGTACTGGCTTTTGTTCCCTGAAAAAAAAATCTCACTTTTAGTTATTAAAGCATTCACTGTAGGAAACAAATTTGTAACCCATTTCTCATGTTACCAACACACAAAAAACAAAATTTGATATCCTGGGGTTTATTTGCTGAGGGCACTTCCCATAAAAGTGAGTGAGTATGCATTGGAAAATGTGTCTGGGTAACTCCTTAAGGATAAATGTTAGTCACAATCCTTCCACCCCCAACCCCCAACTCTCGCCCCTAGCGCCCTCCCCACCTCCTGACTTCCCGCCTCCTCAGAGCTGGTGACCTAATAGCATTTTTCTTCATGCATATTTTGGCTTCGCCCCATGGCCTGGCTGCCTTGGTCTGTCTGAGTCTTTTGAAATCCCTGCATGTTCGCCCCAGATTAAACCGAGTGTGTCTCAGGATGTGTGTTCCGTTTGGTTCTTTCCTCTTAACGTTCCTGTGCAACGTGTCTGGGGGGGGGGGGGGGGGGGGAGGAGGAGGACGGGACGGGCAGGCGCGGGAGGGGCCGAGGCAAGGAGCTGTCCCCCTGCACGTTTCCAATCGCATTACGTGAACAAATAGCGGAGGGGTGGCCGGGCCAGAACGGCTTGTGTAACTTTGCAAACGTGCCAGAAAGTTTAAAATCTCTCCTCCTTCCTCCACTCCAGACACTGCCGGCTCGCCGGGCCGCCGCGCCGCTCCCTATCGCCTTCCAGAGCGCTGGGAAAGAGCAGAGGCGGGTGCCACGTCCCAGCAGCCGCCTGGACTGGAGGAGGGTCTGCAGCCCAGCCTTGCTGGGGACTACCATACCCGCGCTCCACCGCCTCCCTGGTGGAAGATTTCTCCCTCCCTCAACGAGATTTCAGCCCAGTTTTCCTTTTTCTCTGAGCTACGTCCTCCCGGAGTGGGGGCCACCGGAGAAAGGGAGAGATGCGCTTCGCCTGGACCGCGCTCCTGCTGGGGCCGCTGCAGCTCTGCACGGTCCTGCGCTGCACCCCGCCGGCCGCCGGCCAGCAGCAGCAGCAGCAGCAGCAGCCCCCTCGCGATCCCCCTGCGGCTCCGGGCGCCTGGAGCCAGAAGATCCAATGGGAGAACAACGGGCAGGTGTTCAGCCTGCTGAGTCTGGGCTCGCAGTACCAGCCGCAGCGCCGACGGGACCCGAGCGCCGCCGCCCAGGGCGCCGCCAACGCCGCCGCCCCGCAGCCGCGCACGCCGATCCTGCTGCTCCGCAACAACCGCACGGCGGCGGCCACCCGGGCGCGGACCGCTGCCCCGTCGGGAGCCGCCGGCGGCCGCCCCAGGCCCGCCGCCCGCCACTGGTTCCAGGCTGGCTACTCGGCGTCCGGGACCCGGGACTCCGGCCCCGCGCGCGCCAGGAACCGGACCGCGTCCGCAGAGCGCCCGGCGCTCAGTAACCTGAGGCTGCCTAGCCGCGTGGACGGCATGGTGGGCGACGATCCCTATAACCCCTACAAGTACTCCGACGACAACCCCTATTACAACTACTACGACACGTACGAAAGGCCCCGGCCTGGGAGCAGGTACCGACCCGGCTACGGCACCGGCTACTTCCAGTACGGTAAGCGCCCCAAGTCTCAGGAACCACCCACCCGGGCACCCCGTTCCATAATGTGGCTGGTGGCTTCCCCGACGTGGCTGCCAGGGCACGGCAGGCCCCAGTCCCTGCAGACCCTCCCCCTCCCCCTGCGCCTGCAGAGACAGCCCTGGAATCTGGTGCAAACCGCGCGCCTGGCCCCTCCTGCTTCCTTTCCACATTGGTCTCCAGCCCCAGGCATCCCCCATTCTCATGCTACCCGCAGCCTGGCAGGAAAACAGCAGTCAGGCTGGGTAGAGGTTGAGGAGTAAGGGACACGGAGGGACCAGTAGCCAGGGCAGGGGGCTCAAGGTTGTCTCACTGTGTCCTTTGCCTGCTGACGTTTAGGTCTACCGGACCTGGTGCCAGATCCCTACTACATCCAGGCGTCCACTTACGTGCAAAAGATGTCCATGTACAACCTGAGATGCGCTGCGGAGGAAAACTGCTTGGCCAGGTACCAGCTGGGATATCAGCGGCCCGGCTCCCCTCTCTTGGTTCCAGCTCCCCTTTCTTGGTTCCAGGGGCTCATCAGGTCCCTGGTTCTGACTACTCTTGTTCCTAACAGACAAGAGTTGGGAAGTAGTACAAGAGCTGGGAAGTAGGACTTGAACACCTGGGCACGCTGACCTGGATGGAGAGAGAAAATTTTTAAGATTTCTGTGGGTTCTGTCTTTCAAACTGCAGCACAAATCAAAGAGATGTAGCAAATCCTTCTCCCAAGTGTGTTTGGGGGGAGGGAGAGAGGATGTCTTTGTCTGTTTTCTAAGATCCTTCAACTTTGAAGCCAACTGTTTCCAATAACTTTCTATTAATTAACTGTACAATAACATGGGAAAATATTGTAATCAAAGAGCTTGTTAATATACCCTTAAAAGACTGGGGGCTAATTTGCCACTGAGGAACCACTTATTGGCAAAGGTTAAGTTTTATCCTTTTGTTTGAAGAGATAATTAACTTAGCTATTTGGGTGTTAATATAGCCAGAATAAGACTGTGAACAAGAACTTTGTTTTTCCATCAGTCCTAAAATAAAATCATAGCAATGAATTTCTCTGAAGTTGCTACTGGGAAACCAGCAGAGGGAGCTAGAGGTCATTTTGTTAGGTCTCAAAATGTTTACACTGTAAAATAAAGTCATTAGTAATCAGTAGTATTTAAATGCATATTCACACAAAATAGTGTATTAGAAGGTACACAGTAATGTTCATTCATATATTTCTTCCACTCTGGCTCTTTATAATTTTCAGGCTAAAGGAAGAGAAGAAATCAAAGCACATCATTTTCATTCTCGAGTCCGGCATCACTAACACCATTGCACTCTCTATACTATTACAGTAATGCTGTTGTTTTGAAGACAGTGTAGTTAAAAAATTGTCTAAAATAATTTGTGTACTTTTTAGAGTGATTTCCCCACTTTACATCATAGTTATTTGTTCAAGAAATGTATTGTCAAATACAAAGTTCTTAGGTAAATATGGATGATTTTTTTTAACATGGGATAATTTCCACCTCAGTTTCACTCATTCATATGGTTAAACTTGACTTAATTATAAAGTTTACTTATCAGTTGCTATTTTAAAATACTTCTTATTATTTATTTCAGAGAGAGGAATGGACAGGGAGAGATAGAAACATCTACACTAATAATAGAGAAATATGCAAATTGACCATACCTTTGCAATGCCCTCCAGCCAATCAGGAGTGAGTATGCAAATTAACCCAACAAAGATGGTGTGTTAATTTGCATACATAGGCACCAAGCTGCTGGGGATGTTTGCATCACCATGGTGATGATGCGGGCATACCACACCACCCTAGCAGCTCCAGGCCTCTGGACAGTGTGGGAAGGTGGAAAGGTGGCTCTGGACCAGAGCCAAAGCGGTGCCTGTAGCCAAGGGAAGGGAGGCCCATTTTTGTGTGAATTTTTGTGCATGGGGCCTTTAGTCAATTATGAGAGAGAATCATTGATTGGCTGTCCCTTGCACGCCCTCTACTGGGGATCGAGCCCAAAACCCTGGCATGTGCCCTGATCAGGAATCAAACTGTGACCTCCTGGTTTATAGGCTGACGCTCAACCACTGAGCCATGCCAGCAACGCTATAATACTAATTTTATTGTTTTTATATTTATACTGAGGATTTCCATAGTTTTCATTCACTTACCCATTCAACATGCATTCCAAAGCTCTGACTACTTGCCAGACACTCCTCTAACATCTGGAGATTCCACAATAATAAGCAAAATGCCTGACTCTTGAAACTCATAGTCTAGTTGGAGGAATGGGAGAGTCACCATTATATACTGAAAATGCTTTGCTTGTAGTTTTCTTTTTAGTTAATAGTCTGTGAAAATAATATTTTTTTTCTTTTTAAATGACAGCTCAGCATATAGAGCAGATGTCAGAGATTATGATCACAGGGTGCTGCTAAGATTTCCCCAAAGAGTGAAAAATCAAGGGACATCAGATTTCTTACCAAGCCGACCAAGATATTCCTGGGAATGGCACAGTTGTCATCAGTAAGTGGATGGGCCTTCTGGGTACTTTTGAGTTGGTTTTTCATTTTTCAAATGATTTTTACACAAAGGGAGAGAATTGCTGTTATTCACATTTAGAATTTTTCTCTATGTAATCTGACATAATCAAGGGAGTCTATCTTTAAAATCACACATCAATTAGTAGATCCTGTTAATTTTTAAATAGAAACTCTAAGTCCAGTTTATTAAAACTGTTGATAGGGTTCAGTGATTGGATTCACTAGAATTTTATTCCAATATATTTCAAGTAGATTTATAAAAATAAAATAAAAAAATAAAAATAAAAAAAAGCAGCCCATTGCGGCCAAGATCATCTGTAGTTAGCATTTAACAGCATTTAATAAAGACCACAAATTTTTATTAAAAGGGTTCAGATACCTTTCTCAAAGAAAGGTGCATATGATATACTCCAAGACCTATCTCCATCTTTAAAAAGACCTGTATCAATACAACTTTGCCTGTTTTGTCCTAAATTTTTAAAGATTCCACATTAGGTAATGCTATAATTAGCCTAGATAAATTGCTCAGGTATTTATTATGAGAAAATCCTGACATGTGCCCTTAAACTTGTTCTCTTCCTAATGGGAGAAGATGAACAACTTAGCATGTTCTCTTTCATGAAATGATAACAACAGATACGAGCACCTAATGTGCTGATAAGATAGAATTATTCATTTCCAAACAAAAGTTTATACTAGTTAAAACAATAATGGTGGGTAAAACATGCCATTTTCTCTTTTGCATTTTAGTAATGATTTCAAATCTATGAGAACTTAAATTTCTAAAATTTCACAGAAACCTCCCAAGAGTCATATGCTCTTCTTTACTGGAATGAAACATCAGTATGGCAGCCAAGGGAAATATACTAGAAAACACATGGCAAGTTTCACTTAAACACATAAATTTACTGTCTGATTCTATTTAATATTCAAAGATAAAACAGGATATGGTAGAAAAGCAAAACACTCAAAACATGTCTTCCCCCCCCCCCCCCCCCCCAAGTAGCAAAGTTGAAAACTTACGGTTTTTATAGACTTATGACCCTGGGTTGTGGGGGTGAGGAGCTGTAAATCATGCATGAATCTGGCTTTAAAAAGATAAACATTATCTCAATTTTAATGTGCAAACAGACTGGTGGGGCAGCGGGGAAGTCATCTGAAGTTCGCACTGCTTTTTCTCTCTCGGTCACTGACCACTGTCTCTGTGTTGTGGGGCACCCTAGACATTACCACAGCATGGATGAATTCAGCCACTATGACCTGCTGGATGCCAACACCCAGAGGAGAGTGGCTGAAGGCCACAAAGCAAGTTTCTGTCTGGAGGACACATCCTGTGACTATGGCTACCACAGGCGGTTTGCGTGTACTGCCCACACACAGGTAGGTTGGCATCATCCAATCAGAAATCTGCAGGCTTCGAGAGAAAACAAAGGAGTCTTCTATTTTCTTTCCTCCCGCCTGTCTTTTACAAACTGCTTCATCTAGGGGTTTATCTAGTCAAGATAGAAGATAACTGAGAAAACAAACGTGCAGGCTTGTTGATCCAAATTAGTTTGAAAGTATTTTATCATCATAGAAAGTCACTGCAGACTCATTGTGTTCCACAATCAAAAGCAGCACATTACTCTCTGGAAAAGTCTGAATGGTTCCCAATATCTGAGCTCATTCTGTATTCTTTCCCTGGCTTGGTAAGTAACTATAGAAAAGATACCTGTTTTCCCACCTGCAAAACCCAGTATGCTAAAAATAGGATACCCGGTGATTATGGTTAGCAAAAGGAGAGAAAGTAGGCTTCTTAAAAAGCACTGTAAAAAACTGTCTCTTTTAATCATGTAAATAAAAGCAGAAGGATACAATTTCTTTCTTTACACATATATATTTAAGGCTACAGTATAATTGATGTCAGATGTTCTTTGGGTGAATTTTTAAAAATCGTGCTGAACTAAGCAATCTGTGTGTCCTATAATAGGAAAATCTGTGTCAGTTCAAAGCCATGCCAGTATTTCCATAAGAAACTCTAATTTGTAAAAGGACATTGTAATTTTACCCCTGCCGAAATCTTGGCAAGGAGTAGTGAGTGTATATGTCTCAGGGCAAGGGGAAGCAATTCCAGGGCTGTGGCAGGAAGCCTTTGGTGACCTAAATGTTACTGCTGCTTCTTTCTCTAAGCTTAGAATATGAGAGCAATTGGAGGGGGTAGGGTTCAATTCCATGTGCCCTGAGGCACCACTTATTCTTTAAGCAAAAGAAGATGTAACCTACATACAGGTTACAGATATGTGTCTATAGAAATTCCTTTTTCACTCTGAGAGTCCCACAGGGCCTGCCTGAGAAGGGACTTAGTTTCCTCTTTTCATTCACACAGAGGCACTGTGGGTGGCTCACTGCTGAAATACTTGAATCTAAGACAACAGGTATTTACAGCACTTCTAGGCTCTCAATTCTTGGGGTCACCCCACTTCGTTTTATATGGTAGCTTTCCCCTAACTGTCCTCATTTATGTCCTATTAACTATTATTTGTCAGTTCTTGTATTACAAGCAATTTGTGCTTTTCGCTTAGACAGGCTTATCATTTCAAGGAAAAAATAATTCTCTCAAAGCCCCAATATTGACTTAGATTAGTTGTATTATAATGTTTATTAAATGTATCCAAATATGATACTAGATATAACTTCCTTATATTTATACTTTCATAACAAATTCATATATTAAATGAATACAAAGCTAGATACTGTCATATTAACTTACTCTATCAAATAGTTGTGTTTTGCTAAAACCAAATAGCTAATTTAGACAGCCTCAGGTAAGGTTCTACATTTAATCTATTTTTAAAGCATGACTTTCAGTATATGAAATGCCTGTTTCTTTAATGGCTTTAAAAACTCCCATATTTGTTTGCTAGTACAAATATTCAAATTCAGACTTAACTTCTGCGAGCTGAGTAATGCTAGAGTCCAGTTTCAGCGTTCTTTAAAGCTCTTTTATTTACTTGAAAGTAATATAAACATTGTAGCATTATTTAAACCTGAATTAAAGATATATCTATTCCAATGACTCCCTTGTAATGCCATAAATTTAGTAGTAGCAACAGCAACAACGAGAGCTAACATTTATTAAGTATTTATTATGTGCCAGAACAAACGATAATCTGGGATGAGAAAGCAAAAATTATTCATTACGTATTAACAGTAACATACTGTTAATGCGTTGGTATGAGCCAAGGTGGGTGCGTGGTTCTCACTGCTGTGGCTAAGGTACTTCTGAGTGTGGCGTGTCCACGCTACATTGTGTGTGGTATGCGAGCACAATTCTTCCTCTTCCTCCCCAAATCAGGTGATCGTCAAACCAGCACTGGTAGGACATGCTTAGATGATTTTGCCATCTCTTTGGTGACGAAGGTGATATTACGCACCAAACAATTTGGGGTGCTGAAGTTAAATAGCAGTATTGAGTTAAAATGATTCTAGCATACGCTTTTTAATTTACTTTAGATTACCATTAGAATGAAAATACAACAGTGAAACTTCTTGTGAAGAACTAATAGATTTGAGACTGCCCCTTCAGACTTCAGTTTGAACAAACTTCTCCAGACTATAACTTTACAGAGAGAAGGACCATATCTCATTGGTATTCTCCTCACAGGCTGTAGAAGTCACTCATTTACTTGCTGACATGAATAACTTAGCGAGTGAAGTAAGATGGGATGTGTACATTGAGACATACATTCATCCCTTTAGTTCAACAAGACATTTCAGTGACTATATGAGAGAGGGAACAGTGTGGTAGGGAACACCAGAGACTCTGGATCCAAAGGCCTAAGCTCAAAACCAACTCAGCCACTTTGAAGCTATATATCCTTCCGTGAGTTATTTGACCTTACTGCGCCTCAGGTTCCTTATTTGTAAAATGGGGATAATAACAGCACCTGCCTTGTGTAGTTCTGGGAACTGGATTTATGCTTAAAATGATTCCTGACATGTAATATATAATTACTGTTAGCTATTCAAAAATGCAATCATAGACCCTACCCTTAGGGAGCTTACAACCTTTAATTAGATGGTTTTATATAGTATGATTATAATTCAGAGCAGAAAAGGATAAGTACTATGAAAGCTATATACACAAAAAAGTATCATGGGCAGAGTACAGGAAGTAATTTCCAAAGGTCAAAATTAGGAAAGGTTGTACTGAAAAGAGAATATTTGAGCTATTATAAATTGATTATTATGTGGCCTTTATTCTTGAACTGATAATAGTCTAGAATTTTGGTGCAGGTCTATTTTTCACTTAAGCTTATACTTATCACTGGTGACTTATGACACTTTTAAGAAGCTAGATCTACTACTTATATGGCAGTTTTTTGCTGTTGGAAGTGCTATAGGTTGAGTAATATATACTTCTCAAGGGAGATGCAATATAAGTATAGTTGTACTTACAAACTCTTGTAAGTGCTAACTTAAAATTTGATTAACAAATAGTATGCATATTCATTCTCTCTCTCTCTCTCTCTTTTGTTAATCCTTCATCCAAAGATATTTTCCTATTGATTTTTAGAGAGAGTGGAAGAGAGAGGGAAAGATAGAAAAATCGATGTGATAGAAACACATCAATTGGTTGCCTCCTGCATGAGCCCCAACCAGGGCCCGGGGCAGGGAGAAGCCTGCAACTAAGGCACGTGCCCTTGACCAGAATCAAATCCGGGAACCTTTGGTCCACAGGCTGACACTCTATCCACTGAGCCAAACTGGCTAGGATTAATATGCATATTCTCTAGAATACTCTAACCATATATCATCTTTTTAAATTTTCTATTTTATTTGTTTTAGGGGTTGAGTCCTGGCTGTTATGATACTTACAATGCAGACATAGACTGCCAATGGATTGACATCACAGATGTAGCACCTGGGAACTACATCCTAAAGGTAGAGACCTTTAAGAATATACAGCTGTAACTTATTTCCACTGCAATTCCATAGATCCCTTTCTCTGGATTCAAATGTTAGATAATCATGACCCTGAAAGCAATTATACATTTTATATAACCATTTCTAAATGATCCCAGATATATTATTTTTTATTTTATTTTTTATTATGTTTATTTTTTATTGTTGATAGTATTACAGATATCTCCCAAAATGTCTTATTTTAAAGAACTTGAGGAGAAAATATACAACCTCTCCCTAAAATGGCTCCAGAGTTGAACCATTTGCCTAAAATTTCATCCTCCCTGCTTCTGTGAGTTGAAGCATGGTAGCCATGTGAAAACAGGAAGAAATTAACTGGTAAACACTGCTAATAAAATCTGAAGTGCAAAAAAAAAAAAAAATCTGAAGTGCAGATGATGTTTGTGTTGCCCAGGTCAGTGTGAACCCCAGCTACCTGGTGCCTGAATCGGACTATTCCAACAATGTCGTGCGCTGTGACATTCGCTACACAGGACATCATGCGTATGCCTCAGGTTGCACAATTTCACCGTAAGTCTGATTTGCCTAACTGATACTCTTTCCCAGGCGTTTTAGTTCATCAGCAGGCATTACACAGGGTATGTTTGTTTCTATCATTAGTATAGCCTCCTTGCAAACTAGACCAAAGGTAGAATGGTCTGCACTGTCACAGAGTTAGAACTGATCTTTGTTGGCTATGGTAGAGAAAGGAGGGTGTACTCAGCTTTTTAGCATCTTAAAACTTAGTTCTGAAGACAACACACACACACACACACACAGAAAGAGAGAGAGAGAGAGAGAGAGAGAGAGAGAGAGAGAGAGAGAGAGAGAGAGAGAGAGAAAGAGAACACATTGTTTACTCAGAAAGTATGTGTGGAGGCTGAATATGTAAAATATGCAATGCACAGTGTGGGCGGCCTTGTGGGAGCCCAAACGGTTGGGTTTCCTGCTGCTGCCAGAGTGCATGATGGAGCTCTGGAGAAATTCCTAGAGTTCCTCAAAGTACATTCTGAAAAGTCACTGCCTTAAAGAATGCAGCTGAAGGGATCAGACTGCCTGCTCTGTGCAAATCAAGAGTTCACATATTTGAGTTCTAGAACAAATACTAGGGAAATATTCCACAAAAGAAGGGATGTGTGGAGGTACCTTCATCATTTTCTTAGTCCTGGAACCCTTCTCCGAATGACATCTTAGATAGAATCCCAGCTCATTAATATTAACAGGAGTGGTGTGTTGATGAAAGTTCTTAGCGAAAGCTGGGCAGGTTTCCTGCTTGTCTGTCCGTCTCACCCTCATGCCTTAAGCACTGACTGCTTTAGTGTAGCTGGGTTTTAGATTCTAACTACACATGCCACCTGTAAGCAGCACCTTCCGAACACTGAGCACACCATGAGAGTGATACTGAACGCGCATCAGCTTTGCTTTGACGCTGGAGAGTCACACAGAAAAGTGTAACAGGTACATAGAAACTCATAATAGTAATTTCTCCCTGATATACAAAACCAGGACAGTGGTTCACCACACACGCACCTGCAGTTGTAGGTTTCCTCAAGACCACCTACACCTGGTTGTGCAGGTTCTGCCTTAAACCTGGGCTCCTGTCCCATGCTCCACTCACAGAGCCACCTCCTGTGGCTTGGGCTGCATTCACCTTACAGGGGCGCCTTCTCATTCCCATGAAGGAGCAAAGGCTTCGTTTTACAAGTGTCATCACAGCATTCAAGGTCAATGAAGCTTGTAACAGCAAAGGGACAGCACTGAAAAAATAATTATATTCTTCTGAACATGCCCCACAGTAGAGGAAACCTAGATGGGTTTATCACTCATATAGTACAGAGTGATCAGGGTGTACCTGCAAATCCTCAGAACAGCAATGGAATTTGAGCTACCGTATTTTCCGGCGTATAAGACGACCCCCTAATTTTACAGTTAAAACATAGGTTTAGGCCTATATTCGCCCCCACTTCAAAGAAAAGACTTACTTTGCCGTCAAGATCTGCAGGTAATTTTTGTGCAATTTTGGTCTTTTGCCTCCGATTTTCAGTTGATTTTTTTTCGTTTCAAAAGTTGTCTTATACGCCGAAAAATACAGGTAAAATGCATGGGTTACCTTGATTTTTATAATTCCTTAATTCTCTAATCCTCTGTCAGGGCATATATAAGAAGTAATCAATGAATGCATAAATAAGTGGGACAAGAAAGTGATATTTCTCTCTCTCAAATTAATAAAAATATTTTTGTCAATCAAGTATTAATGGATAATTTCATAAGGTAACTGCTGCTTAGGTGGAGGAAAAATGATACCTCAATTTTTCAAACTTGTCTACTGTATTCAGTCATAGTATTGTCAGGTTAATAACTTATCTTTTGTTTTTTAATATAGGTATTAAAAAGCAAGCCAAGACTCCCAATGGATAAATCAGTGCCTGGTGTTCTGAAGTGGGAAAAATAGATTAACTTCAGTAGGATTTGTGTATTTTGAAAAAGAGAACAGAAAACAACAAAGGAATTTTAGTTTGGACTTTTTTTTTATAACTAAGCACATAACTGGATTTTGAACATTTATATTGGCATTGTTTGGAAAAATTTTTAATATTATTATTCACATTATTTTGTGAATTGACATGTTTCAATTCTGTACTTGCACCCTTGGCTCTTTCAAAGAAATCCAAATTTCTTATGCTCTTTTTGAAATTATAATACAGAAGGGAAAGTAATATTGCAATGAATGAGCCACAATTACTTTGAACTGGGAATTTTCTAAAGTGCTGTAACTTCAGTGAACTACGGTAATCATTGGCTTATATATGTCCTGGCTCCTACTGTTTAAATAGGAATGGACACATTTGGTGCTGAGGAAGGAACAAATGCATTACCATTGGTCTCAAAAAATATTACTATATAGCAGAGAAATGGCAGTATATGTATTCAGATAGCTATATCCCTATATAAAATTTATGTTTACATTTTTAAATTAGTAGATAAACTCCTTTCTTTCTATCAAGTGTACACTCTGACATAAGTCAGTTTTTATTCTGGAACAAATTGAATAATTGAGCTGCCCAACTCTCCCTGACATTTGTTGATGCTCCCCTCTACTCTTCAATTTTCCTCTGGGCAGAAACCTTTTAAGTGCCATCTTAAAATTACCCTTCTGGGGACTGGTATACATAGGACAACTGTGTCAATGGGAAGTTATTCTGATGACAAATATGATACATCCAAAAATAATGCACAATTAAGTATATTGAAGTACTAGCCAAATTTTTTTTTCTTATGGACATAAAATAAAAATCATAATGAACAAGTCCCTCAAACCACAACTGTCTCTCAAATAATTTTTAAAAAGTAATGAAAACCAATTTGAAATTTTCAAATTTTCTACATTAAAAAAAATGCAGCTTTAAAAAGAGGAATGCTAGAAAGTTTTAAGTTATCCAGAATAAATGACATAATATGTGTGGATACAGGAATCATATCCTATGTCATCCAGGAATCAGTCATGTGGAGTGTGAGTGTGTGTGTGTGTGTGTGTGTGTGTGTGTGTGTGTGTGTCTGAAATATAATCCAGATTAGCAAAGCACACAGCATTACATACTTGAGGGGTTAGTGAATAAGGATTAAAAAAAAAATACTTTCGGCAAAACTAAAGGCTGTGCTACATAATGAGACAGCTGTGCTTTTATTTTAAACTGTGAAATCATGTGCCACAACAGAATTGGGAGACTTTCTCTTTTTTCTAGATTCAAAAGGTGCAGAAATAAATAAAATTACACTTTTAAGTTAGTGGTGCTTAAGCAGAAGTTTTTCTATAATAACCAGTATTAAAATCTCAAGCAAGGTACTTCAAGTGCCAGAACACACAGGTAAAATTTAAAAATGAGTTGGCATCCATGTATTATATGCCATGGAGTTGTAAAGTCAACACCAGTCAGCACTCACTCAGTGCCTAGAGCGGTGGGAGGGGCTAGAAATGGACAGTCATTGAGGGATGGAGGGCCACAGATCTACATCCGCCAGAGCACACTCTTCCCAATAGAGAACACAGACAACTTAGTAGAGATCAGGGCTTTCACTGAGCTAGTATCTGATCTATGGGATAGCTTCTTTGATGTACCTCTTTGCCTTAAATAGCTTTTTAGTTTTAAGATTGCAGGAAGAGCCTTTCTTTTAGATTATAATATTTTCAAATATTTTAACATGCTTACTTTTTAAAAAAACAAGAAACTACTGTCAGTATTAATACTGAGCCAGACTGGCATCTACAGATTTAAGATCTATTAGCGCAAGATTTTTACCCCTGTATTAAAAGTTAGCCATTATCATGGCCTTTTGGATACATGAGAAGACACATTTTCTATTCATTCATCAGACCCTCCATCTGTCTGTCCATCCATCATCATTTGAGGGCCTAATATATGCCAGGCACTGGCATGCTAGGCAATAGGATATAAAAAAGATTTTCTCTAACCTCAATTAAGTATTAAAAATGTCATTATTATGCTTTAGGTTCACTTCATTTCATTTTTTAACAACTATAAGTACATGTCTAAAAATTTTATTTTAAGCTCTATTGTTTTTCATGACCATATTTTATTTTAAAAATAAGTTAAAAACTAATAGTTATATGCATGTATGTGTTACTAATAATTAAAAATGTTTCCAATTCCTGAACTGTCTGCGTTTTAAATATAAAATGCGCTATTTGATTTTGGGGGGGAAATTTCGATTAGGAAGTAAAGATTCTCACTTAATCCTTATGCATCCTTCCCCCTCAGTCATCTCTTACTATTCCCTTAACATTCAATATTTTTGAACCACAAGGGATCTCTTCTCTGAATAACCACAAAAACTCATACAAAATGACTAGCTGGTAAAAGTTATCCATTAATAAAATAAAGAATCCAGCCTTACAAACTCTAAATTAAAAAAATTAAATAGAAAGTAGAAATGATACAAAGAATGTTGAATAGTGAAAAGAGACTGACTTTTAAACTAATAAAGACTGTGAAAAAAAATGGGCTAAACAGGAAATAATTTAATGAGTCTCCCACTCACCATAATAGTGACCTCATAATTATTCAGACCACAGTTTGAACTAAAGATGTCTTGACCTTGTGGGCGAGTATTCAGTTTTCCAGCAGTACCAGAACACATGAATCTACAACTTGCCTATTTCTAGAAAATCTTTACACTTTTACATAATTAATTTATTCATAATTTCAATCACTAGGTATTATTTGTAATAATGAACAATAATTGTTTTTTCTTTGAAACCTCATAGAATAGTCACATTTAAACATTCCCAATATTCAGATTCCAGAGGAAATGCCATGCATTAAAATGATCATGGCACTGAGAAATCACCTTTAGCAAATTGTGTGAAAATATATCATTTCTGGTCAGAAGATGCCTTATTTTAAAAATAACTTGTTCTGATACTAATAGTATAGTAACTGATAAGTAAAAAGTTACCCCTTTTCTACATTTTTTAATATTTATAATCCATATTCACAAATAATACATTCAAACAACAGCTATGTATCATTTCCAGTTACCAAAAGGTTGGACCACTTTTAAACATTTCAAGCATTTCATTTATCTTTTAAACTAAAATGGTGCTGAATTATTTCAACTTGAATGTAAAAATGTGTTGTCTTGTTCACAGGATACAAACATTTAATTAATAGGTCACTGCTTGCTACTAACTACATATCATTTGATATTGTAATACTTTCAATGAAGTTTTAGTTTCTTCCAAAATTTTCAAGAATCCTATTTGTAAAACATCTCTAACTCTTTTTTAGAAGCTCTTAATTTACATGCCTGACACTGGCTTTATAGTCTTTTTGACACTCTCACATTCTTTCATTGTATGCTATACTATGAGTGAAAATTATATAAAAATGCCTTGAATAAATGATTTCAAATTTCCATAGTGGTCATTTGTTGTTACATATAAATAAATGATATGAACTTCATTTTAGGTTAAAATCTAAAAGCCCATGTATATGGTTTGTGGTTTTGCTTAGTTGCCTTTTGTATTGACAAATTGTTTAATAAGCTCACATGACTTGAAACTTGTCTATGATGGATTAAAAAAAAAATCTAGTTGATGTTTTAAAAAAGAAACTATCATACATGAATGGATCCTAACTTCTGTCATCATTACCAGCCATTTCAAGGACACAGAGCAGGCATTGAGAGGACAACCGCACTCTGTTTTAATTAGGATTTAGAAGAAATATGCATAATCATATAAACACTCAGGGGATACATCTAATTAAAGCTACAAACTAGCCATAAAAAGAGAAACATTGCTATCATAGAAATCCTTATTTAAATGTTTACCAGATTAGCCTGGAAGCTGGTAACCTGAGAAAACAACCTGGCCCCAAACTATGGACAACGTTTTTTGTTTGTTTTTTTGGGAGGAAGGGGATTCACAAAATTAACCCACACAACAATTCACCTTTAAAGAGCTCTTACAGATGAAAGAGATGTAGGCTTGTGGTAGGCAGTCTGGAGAGTTAAGTTGCATAATATCTGGTGATACACTGAACGAACAATTTCCTGCTTCCCTAGCCTGCTCAAGGCAAAGCATCTGAATACACTTTCCTTATTAATGCAAAAGGTGATTTTCTTTGTCCCATGAATGTTCAGTACTTCTCACACTGTTCAACATTAGCTCATTAACCAAGACATGGGAGGGCAGAAAACCTGACTGCCTTATGCTACTCATTTATTAATATTTCAAATCCTTGCCACAGATATTAGTAGAGGATTATTAACCAACAGGTTAAATATATCACTTGCGTTGCAGTAATCTGTAGCTTAAATTTAAACAAAGCTCTTGCATCATTCCTCTTTTTAATTTGAAAAGTAAAATATTTATTACAGAATTAGGATAATACTGATTTCTTCAAGCATGTATTGAGAGAGTCTTATTTTACAAGACAGTCTACTAAAAAAAAAACTCTATACAAAAATAAGAGAAATATTATCTCTGTGGCAAATATTTACAATACATATAGACATATTCAATAATTATAAGAAGTTCTGTAATAAAGAAACCACTTTAGCTTTATTATCTAATGTTTCTCAGATTTGCTTTGCCATAAATATCTGTTTTAAATAGCATTTACTATGCTGTCAAAATGTTGTTTTTTCATGGAAAACTGAGATATGCCATATTATTTAATTATCAGTTCATAAAAATGAGATTATTTGAAAATGACTTAAAACATACCTAATACATAGTCACAAACCCAAACAGATAGCCAAAATGAGGAGTCAACCCCCAAATGAAAGAACAAGAGATAAATAAAGCAGAGATAAGAAATTTTTCTGAAATAGAGTTCAGAGTAATGATGGTAAAGATGCTCAACAGAATGGAAAAAAATATAGTAACTAAGAGAAAAGGACAGTCAGAAATAAAGAATGACATAACAAAAATAAAGAACACATTGGAAGGAATATACAGCAGATTAGGGGAAGCTGAGGATTGAATCAGTGAATTAGAAGACAGAGTTGAAAAAAATCACTCAATCAGAGAACCAAAAGAAAGAAAGAAAAATAAAAATAAAAAACAGGAGCACAGCTTAAGGGAGCAGTGGAACAATGTGAAATGTAACAATACTAGAACTGCAGTTGTAACAGAAGAGGCAGAAAAGGAGAAAGAGATTAAAAAAACAAACAAACAAACAAAAAAACACATTTGAAGAAATAATGGCAGAAAACTTCCCTAACCTGGTAAAGGAAAAAGTTCAGTTAGGACACAAAACAAGTCTTTACAAGTTCAAGAAGATTAAAATCATATCAAGCATCTTCTCAGATCCCAGTGGAAGAAATTAGAAATCAACTATAATAAAACACCTAAAAACATTGAAACACATGGAAGCCAAATAGCATGTTATTAAACAATGAATGGGTTATCAAGATCAAGAAAAAAATAAAAAAACTTCCTGGAAATAAATGAAAATGAATACACAACAACTAAAAAGGGCATTCCATCACCTGCCTGGAGGGCTGATCATGTCCCATTTTACAAGACAATCTACTAAAAAACCTCTTCAGCCAGTCACAGGGCTCATGGTGGCGAGCGCCGCTATGGTGGCACAAGCCTCTCCCAGTCAGGATTGACTGGGCATGAGCCCGCAGCAGGCACAGCAGGGCCAGGATGAGCGGAGCAGCAGGCAGGAGCAGCAGGCAGTGTTGGCCTGCTGGTAGCATGCCATGTCAAGGGACTCCACCCATGCACAAATTCATGCACCAGGCCTCTATTCCATTATAAAAGTCAAGGAGACAGGGTCAAGTAAGAGAATGGCTGCTTCCAGACAAATCACATGACTGCATTTTTACTTTATGTGTAGGTGTGAGTGGAGGGTGGGGGAAAGAAAAAAGGATTTCCCCGAGAAAGGGGTCAGTTATTATGGGTATTTTCAATAAGAAATTTACTGGGAACCAACAATCCACCTACTTATATCCAGCAAAAAGATTAATAAAATCAACATATATGTAATCCAACTCAGAACCTTTCCTTCCATGCTACTCATTCACCATATTTCTGTTAAGAGAATTTAACAGAATTTAAAGGCTGACTTTTTCACAAGAAGGACATA